CCTAAGAAGTGTATATCATTGTTCCCGAAATGCCACAAGTGTCGACGAATGAGAAGTGGAAGGTGTCTCACAAAAGGCGAAAGAACAAAAGGTGACAGGGGATGCGTAGGGCATGTGGCTGGAATGAATGATGGAGAACGGCATCTCACCGTTGGCGTTGGTTGTCCCAGGGAGACATGAAGAAGGTCCGAATCATTTTTCCATGGAGTTTCGTTCAAAAAACGCGCGCAGTTCGTTGATTGGCAAAAAAACCTGCGGCGGAATTTCGAAAATTCCCCCCCCAAAAGGGCACGATGACCCAAGATCCTTGTTTGGCGGATGGCGTCATCCACGGTGAAATCGAGGACGTCACCTCGGGAAATCTTGGGGGCCATCTTCTGATGATCTTTCTGCAGAATTATCATCGTCTTGAATGACTATGAACGGGGGCGGATAGTGATGGATCCGCCGGCCGGCCGATATCCATGGCAGTTTTGTGTGGGAATCACCGAAGGATTCCTGGTCTAGCCTACGTAGACTGTACTACACAGGCCGGGCGGAGAATGTTGTTGTTTCTATGCTGCCTCTCACCCATCATCCTTGCGTTGACTGCCCGTCGTCCTTTCAAGATACAGCATGTTGTACTCTGGCACGCAGTTTGTATGAGGGAGGAGACTTCAGGGTGATACGTACGTCTCGATCCGCCGAGAGACGCACAAAAAAAAAACAACGAGAGAAGAACGTTCGACACGAGGTTGATTTTTTGAAAAAATGATCCCAGCGCCTGGCTAATACAGCCGTAGTTCGCTGATTGGTCGAACGGCAGTATCGACTCACACAAAGGCTGGACATTTTCGACCCCCAAGCACCGCGCCTCTTTTTTTCTCCTTTTTCTGCGGCTGCTTCGAATCTGGCGAGGGCCGCGGTGTTCCCCGCCACTACTACAATGACGACGCACACGACGATCGATCCCGCAGCCGACGGTAGACAGACAGTGGAGAAAAGAGGGATCCACCATAGATAGGCATCCCCACTTAAAACACACACGCGTGGCGGATCTTACATCTCGTCGGGCGGTCAACGCCGGCAAAGAAACGCGTTCTTATATGAAGCACCTCCTTCAAAATTTCCTTGAATCAATGGAAGCGATGCTTCCCGCCCCCGCCGTCACAACCACCGCGAACACAGGGTTCTTTCGCCGTGGTTGACGATTCGTCCACAATCGCCGACATTTTTTGTTAGCCTATCTTAAAATACAATAAATGCTCTGACGACACTAAAAAACAAACACTACGTCGGCACGGCTCCACGGGCCGAGTACCGGTGGTGCTGCGTCGAGCAGGTCGACCAGGCCGCTCCCCTGCCCGACAGGAGCAACGGCTGGCGCTACCTGGGCCCCCGAGAGGGAGAAATCTACAGGCGCCAGGCGGTCTTCGGGGCCGGGTACGCCTTCGCCTGCCGTTCCCCCGCCTCTCCCCGGGGCCCGCACGCCGCTGGTTCAACTCGCACCCCCTCGGCGGGGATCCCGACCTCCGGGACTTCCAGGTCTGTGCGAGGACGATGCTGTGCAGGCTCCTGGTGCACCCGTGCGACGCCGACACCTGGCGGGCGACCTTCGTCAACGTCGAGGGCGGCGGCCACGGACAGCTCGTGGTCTCCGCCGCCGACGAGACCTGGCGAGTCATCCTATGCTGGGGATCACGGGGCCGAAGGATCGACGTCAACCAGCACGGTATCCCTGCATCTCCTGTGGATCTGCAGGTTTGCACAGGTGTCACATCGGAGGATCCATGCTTCAGACAGCTCAATAGCGCATCCTTCGGCCACCGACTCGTGAAATACGATCCCTTGACCGAGTTTGGATCTACGTGGAAGGAGAGCCTCCCGGGTACCTGTCTGGCGGTCCTGGTCGCAGACTCGTGGCAAGACTGTCAGGTCGATCTACGCGCACGCGATCGACGGAGATTTGGGTTCCGTGACGTAGACCCGCTGACCGGAACCTTTGGTCGTTGCGCGAACATGACGGAGGCAATCCTCTCCTCGAGCCAGACGGAGACGGACCAGAAGACCGCTCGTAAGCGGCGGAGAGGAGCCGATGACACGGCAGACAGCAAGAAGACCTGGTACGCAACTCCCGCTAATGCGGTGGACGAGCTCATGCTCCATCTGCACCTCGGTGGCGTGGCTTGTACGGGCAGACTGACCANCGGGGGGGGGGGCTTGTTTTACAACGTCGTTGCCAAGCGACGAAAACCCAACAAGAGGGGGAGGAAGGGGGTCAAAATATCCAAGAGGAACCAGAAAAGGTCGTAACGCGGTGAAAAGGGAAAAACGCTACAGGGTAAAAAATGTTTGCGGAAGGGAAAATGGAAAAGGAAAAATACAGAGACGGAAGCACACAGACATAGGCAAGTACGAAAGAGACAAAAAATGGAAACGCTTCTTGACATAACGCAAGCAAGACCGAATCGCAAGCGTGCATGCAACAAAGTCACAGCAACAAAAATAAAAGTCAAAACGGAGAAGATTGAGGAGTAGAAACGTCACGGGAAGGAGGAAGACACATACGAAAGTACGAAGGAAAAAAAATGGGAGAAAATGAGAAGGAATAGTACATCCACCGGTCACGAATGTCGGGGCCGGGGATCGAAAAATACGCATTTCGCACATCGGAAATGACGCAGGGATGGATTTGAGTAAATCGTCCCTGTCATCGCCGTCGTCAACGTCGACGTCATCGTCGTATTCGTAGTCGTTGTCGCTGTTGGCGTCCTTGGCATTTTTGATGTCATCGTCATTGCTGTCGGCGCCTCGGGAATCGTGGTTTCCGGCGCCGCCGCCGGGTCCACCGTAGTGGTCGTCGACGGCGTCGTTGGTGGAGTTGCCGATGGTACGGTCGTTGGCCCGACGACATTTCACGGAGTTGTCGGAAGAATTGCACCCAGTCCGTGCAAGGCATTGTTTGTGGATCGGACACGGCGCATATTCCAACAGGATCAAAATCGTCTATCGGTACCGGCGTGTCTGCGACTGTGAAATAGGGCGTCGTTTTCGGAGTGGTAGGCGCCGCGGACTTTGTCGAATATTCACCGTTCTTCCGCAGTGGACATGAGGAGGGCGGCCTTAACGGTTTCGACATCGGTGTCTCGTTGGTAAAGATATTGCTTAGCACTTGCACGGTGCAGGTGGGAATTGCTCAAGTCGAAACCGTCCGGGACGTCGATTCCGAGGTGACTGAGATGCCTATAGCCGTCTGAGATAAATGGTGAAGTTCCTGGCACTAGAGTGTCGTTCGTTCCACGATTCTTCGATCACGTGGGGGGGAAATGTCGAAGGCGGTGGAGGCAGGGCAATCGCTACGCACGAACAACACGAACAGTCCGCACAATTGCTTCGGTGCGGCGTAGCTTTGGGCGGCCTGTTCAAGAGCAAAAGCGGCTTCATTGAGAAGGGGGTCGTCGAAATGGCCAGAAGTGGTAGCGGTATCCTTGAAGGTGACATGTTCGATCCCGCCAACGGCGAGGGCGTCGCGCAAGGATTGCGGTGTTCCCCCTTTCTTCAAGAGAAACCACAAGCCAGAAACGTCGACGTGGTTGACACGAGGCGCCCCTAAGAAGTGTATATCATTGTTCCCGAAATGCCACAAGTGTCGACGAATGAGAAGTGGAAGGTGTCTCACAAAAGGCGAAAGAACAAAAGGTGACAGGGGATGCGTAGGGCATGTGGCTGGAATGAATGATGGAGAACGGCATCTCACCGTTGGCGTTGGTTGTCCCAGGGAGACATGAAGAAGGTCCGAATCATTTTTCCATGGAGTTTCGTTCAAAAAACGCGCGCAGTTCGTTGATTGGCAAAAAAACCTGCGGCGGAATTTCGAAAATTCCCCCCCCAAAAGGGCACGATGACCCAAGATCCTTGTTTGGCGGATGGCGTCATCCACGGTGAAATCGAGGACGTCACCTCGGGAAATCTTGGGGGCCATCTTCTGATGATCTTTCTGCAGAATTATCATCGTCTTGAATGACTATGAACGGGGGCGGATAGTGATGGATCCGCCGGCCGGCCGATATCCATGGCAGTTTTGTGTGGGAATCACCGAAGGATTCCTGGTCTAGCCTACGTAGACTGTACTACACAGGCCGGGCGGAGAATGTTGTTGTTTCTATGCTGCCTCTCACCCATCATCCTTGCGTTGACTGCCCGTCGTCCTTTCAAGATACAGCATGTTGTACTCTGGCACGCAGTTTGTATGAGGGAGGAGACTTCAGGGTGATACGTACGTCTCGATCCGCCGAGAGACGCACAAAAAAAAAACAACGAGAGAAGAACGTTCGACACGAGGTTGATTTTTTGAAAAAATGATCCCAGCGCCTGGCTAATACAGCCGTAGTTCGCTGATTGGTCGAACGGCAGTATCGACTCACACAAAGGCTGGACATTTTCGACCCCCAAGCACCGCGCCTCTTTTTTTCTCCTTTTTCTGCGGCTGCTTCGAATCTGGCGAGGGCCGCGGTGTTCCCCGCCACTACTACAATGACGACGCACACGACGATCGATCCCGCAGCCGACGGTAGACAGACAGTGGAGAAAAGAGGGATCCACCATAGATAGGCATCCCCACTTAAAACACACACGCGTGGCGGATCTTACATCTCGTCGGGCGGTCAACGCCGGCAAAGAAACGCGTTCTTATATGAAGCACCTCCTTCAAAATTTCCTTGAATCAATGGAAGCGATGCTTCCCGCCCCCGCCGTCACAACCACCGCGAACACAGGGTTCTTTCGCCGTGGTTGACGATTCGTCCACAATCGCCGACATTTTTTGTTAGCCTATCTTAAAATACAATAAATGCTCTGACGACACTAAAAAACAAACACTACGTCGGCACGGCTCCACGGGCCGAGTACCGGTGGTGCTGCGTCGAGCAGGTCGACCAGGCCGCTCCCCTGCCCGACAGGAGCAACGGCTGGCGCTACCTGGGCCCCCGAGAGGGAGAAATCTACAGGCGCCAGGCGGTCTTCGGGGCCGGGTACGCCTTCGCCTGCCGTTCCCCCGCCTCTCCCCGGGGCCCGCACGCCGCTGGTTCAACTCGCACCCCCTCGGCGGGGATCCCGACCTCCGGGACTTCCAGGTCTGTGCGAGGACGATGCTGTGCAGGCTCCTGGTGCACCCGTGCGACGCCGACACCTGGCGGGCGACCTTCGTCAACGTCGAGGGCGGCGGCCACGGACAGCTCGTGGTCTCCGCCGCCGACGAGACCTGGCGAGTCATCCTATGCTGGGGATCACGGGGCCGAAGGATCGACGTCAACCAGCACGGTATCCCTGCATCTCCTGTGGATCTGCAGGTTTGCACAGGTGTCACATCGGAGGATCCATGCTTCAGACAGCTCAATAGCGCATCCTTCGGCCACCGACTCGTGAAATACGATCCCTTGACCGAGTTTGGATCTACGTGGAAGGAGAGCCTCCCGGGTACCTGTCTGGCGGTCCTGGTCGCAGACTCGTGGCAAGACTGTCAGGTCGATCTACGCGCACGCGATCGACGGAGATTTGGGTTCCGTGACGTAGACCCGCTGACCGGAACCTTTGGTCGTTGCGCGAACATGACGGAGGCAATCCTCTCCTCGAGCCAGACGGAGACGGACCAGAAGACCGCTCGTAAGCGGCGGAGAGGAGCCGATGACACGGCAGACAGCAAGAAGACCTGGTACGCAACTCCCGCTAATGCGGTGGACGAGCTCATGCTCCATCTGCACCTCGGTGGCGTGGCTTGTACGGGCAGACTGACCAGCTACAGCAACTGGGATTCGTTGTCGTTGCCGGCGCACGGCACCATCATTCGAACCTGGTGCGGCGCGAGCATGGACGGACTGGATCCAAATGTGCTCGAATGCGACGAAGCTACTCGTCTGATCGAGCTGCACGGCACGCTGGGGCGCAAGCTCATTCGTGGTGTGATGGATTTTTGCCTCTCGAGTGAGTACAGCCCGTCTCTTCTCGCACTACTCGAGGTGTGTTGGAGGGGACCCATCGTCGGGGCAAAGGACGCGTCGGGCACAGCCTACGGACCAGGGGACTGCCAGTGCGACATCAACGGCGAGCACACGGCGGCAATGCTGAGCATGGAGAATCTGCCGGCGTTCACCCACATGTACGAGGTGCGGGCACTCTCAAAACGACGGCACTCTCAAGTTCTAGTCAGCCCGCAAAAACGCAGCGTCTCGCAATCGCGTCTTCGCTGGCATCGAGGTGAAGCTAGCCCTCGATGATCTACCCCCCGCCATGAGGACCATTCCCTGCCCGCTGGAGAGAGTGCTGCGTGTCGTCCCACTATGGGGCGGCATCGGGGAGACCTTCGGTACCATGGGAGCCGCGCATGCAGCCTGGCGATCTGTCGGCAAGGACGACAATAGGAAGATGTGGTCGGGCATCTGCGCGGCAGAGTCGCCGGCAACTCTTGAGCGACTAATCCGCGAGCTGATGTCGCGGGAGGACAGGGTCGTTTGTGCGGTCACGGGAGAACACGGTGGAGCCGGGAAAAGCTACTGCACTCTCCGGGCTGCGAAAGCCGTCTTCAAGACCGGTCTTGTGCTGACGCCCACGAACAACCTTCGCACGTCGTACACCGACCGGCCCTCCGGGTGGAGCGTTAAGACTGCCGACCATCAGCTTGGGTTTTCATCGGCGACGATGCGTGCGTCAGGAAGACCGCGGGCTCGATACATATCCCGAGGGTGGACGTTGTCATAATCGAGGAAGCTGCGTACATGTCTCTCCATGTGCTCAGCATGATCCTCGCCGCGGCTCACAGCAACGGCGTCCACGTCATCGGAACGTACGACACGCACCAGCTGCAGCCCGTTCGTGAGAACAGCGACATGTCCATCAGCGTGGACAACGTCGACCGGTAAGTCGTTCTCGAGTGAGCATTTCCCACCTTCTTCCACCTGTTCACACGCAAGCGGGGCAAGACGATCGACGAACAGGTCGAAATGGACGATAGTTTGTTGTACATCTTGGATGCGGGAGACAACAGTGCCGAGGCGCAGACCCGAGCCCTGGAGAGGTTTGGCGGGGTACATCCGACAAGAAACGAGCCACACGTTTCCGATTTCCACCTCGATTATACCAGGGATTGTGCGAGGTTCCATGCTTTTCGGGGTTTGACGAGATGGAACGAGACCGGGGGGTGGGACGCGCTAGGAAAAACCAGGGTGGTGGGTGCTCAGTATCGAAACCTCGGGAAGACAGGGAAGGTGCACAAGATCCACGCCCACCACATCGTCCGCTCGTCTGATGATTCCGTTGTCGTGCAAAGTACCTTCGATGACGGCGCCACCGTCGAATAGACCATCCTGAGTCGCGCCGCGGCAGAGATCCTGTTTGACCCCCCGGGCTCGTGCACGGTGCATGCGGTTCAAGGTCGCACAGTGGACGGAAAATTGGTGATTCACCAGGCTCGACAGCGGTTTTTAGACTTATTCTGGCTATCCACAGCCATCAGCCGAGCGACGGGGCCCTCAAATGTCGTAGTCCTCGATGACGTCCATCGGAGCAACATGCCCGAACAGGCCAGGAGGTCGTGGGCGACCAGGAAGGTCTCGAGCTACCTGCGCGCCGATGTTACGGCCGGGCGGCTGTACGAAGGGGAAGGGGGGCAGCACAAGAACGCCCTCGTCCAAGCGCTCGTGACCTCAAACGGCGAAAGATGCAACTCATATTCGATCGAGCTCGTCTGGGCAGTGTAAAGCGAACGTCAGCCCACGCTTGATCGTCTCGACTCCTCCCTACCCCACACGCCAGGAAACGTCGACGTAAGTGCCTGAAGTGTAACCGTGCCCGAGGTGGGTTGGGAAGGGGACTCACGAAGAGAATGAAGGATAAAAACAAAGTGACAGAGAAGAAGTAGCCTTGATTGTCGAAAAGTTGCTTTATTTTGTATGGCATGAAGTAGGCAGAGCAAGTGCTTTTTCCCAAAATGGACCAAACTATTGTAACGTGTGCGAGATGGCTGGAAGAAAATGAGAAACCAGATGAAGTTGTTGAAGCCTTGAGAAAATTAAACCTCAGGTCTCTGAACAAGAATGTATGGAAGGTCAGGCTTCAGTGGATGGAAACATACGGCGCTAGCCACAACGGCGGTCCCGTCAGGAACGAGCTACAGTCGTTGCAGAGGCTCATAAAAAGGGAGGCATCGAAGGCGAAGAAGACGAAGGGACAACGGCTCAAGCAGCTCAAGACGGCCGAGGAGCGGGTCCTCATGTCTGCCACATTAGATCTCCCCGCCAAATGGTCAGCACGGCGCAAAGTACGCTCCCGGAAGGATACCTTTACCGGATTGATCGAGGTTGCCGAACATCTCCGTGTGGTCCACCTGCTTCCAGATTATGTTTTTCGGCTCGAGCTTACGCCGGAAGAAAAGAGCCTCGCACGAATAAAACGTAGGGATGCTTTAGACGCCAAGTGTGAACGCGGGTTTGTGGTCAACACCACCGAGGTGATGGATGTGATGGAGTCGATCGTCAAATACCCGCATGCAAACTACTTCGAACTTGTGTGTGCGCTGTCTTTCATGTCGGGTCATGGTTTACCTGAGCTCCTTGGGGCCGCCGAATTCTCGCCATGCGAGGGAAACACACATGTAGCTTTCGTCTGTATTGGTGCGGCCGAGGTTGCAGCTCCTATTTTGTGTGAGTTCGAAGACTTTGCTGAAGGTCTGGATAGACTGCGAGGCATGAAAGACACAGCTTATCTTACTGCCGCAGAAACAAAGCAACGGTTTAGCAAATCGGCCAATGTTTGGGACAGGAAACTCTTACCAGTGAGTGGAGATGATCGGCACACCTTTAGTGATTGAAAAGTGATGCATGCTGCTATTTCATTCAAAGTGTTCCAAGGGCACAGCCTGGATCTTGTAGAGTGGGTCAGCGTGGCATGTGGACAATCCTCGCTGGCGCTCCAAAGGAAGAGCGCGACAGTCACAACGGATGGAGTCGCGGACCAGCTCTATAGGCCGTGGGTTTTCGAGAGTGTTTGACGCACCGGCGACAAAAATATCATCGGTCGCGATATAGACCGCTCCGGGTCAAGAGTACTTCATCCATAAAAGCATCCATTTCCCTCTTGTAGCACCACACGTGAACACACATTCTCCTCTTCGAGGAAAAACCCGAAGATGTGAGAAACGCCAAGATCCTTGGACGACTGACGTCGATTCCACCCAACCCTACATATCTCGTCTTCGACCCCGGAAGGAAGCACCCATATTCCGTCTTCGCGTTCGCTATTTCCCCTAACCAGAATGTTCAATGGCTACTTGACACCTCTGACTGGACGGACAACGCAAGAGTTTTTTGGAAATATGCCTAGCCCAGCCTGGGCACACAGACAGACAGACCGGCGGCCGGAACGAGGAACACGGTAACATCCATTTTTCTAGTTCTTCCATCAAGATTAAGAGGTTTAAAATGGGCAAAATTGGCAGCAATGGCGAAAAATATAATTTAATAATTTTTATGCATTCTTTTCAAAAACATTATTATAACGTAGTTCAAAAAGATTTAATGGGACATCTCCCCTGCGGGTAACAGGCTCAACAAATCAGTTTGGTAGCTGTCTTGTGTGTCTCATATATGTTATGTTGGGAAGGTGCAGACGAGAGGTATTGGGTACTGTTGGTTAGTCGGGCGTTTTGTGTGTGGCACCCTGTTAGTTGTAGGACATACAGTCTCCATCAGTTTACATGCGTATTTTCAGTTTGGTATGCATATGTGCGGAGTATGTGCGGCTGATGTGCGGGCACACGGGAGGGAGTGGTGTCACCGTTTATAAAAAAAAAAAATGTGACACAATATGACACAACGAGTCCATCTCTATCATAGAAAAGAATCAGAGACAGATTAACAATGGAATTATAGCGTCAGAGAAAACTACCTGTATGTCTACAATTTCCTAGACAGCCTACAGGGACAACTACCCTGCGGGTGACAGGCTCAGAAAATCAGTTTGGTAGCTGTCTTGTGTGTCTCATATATATATGTTATATTGTGTAATTTCATGTCGCCTCCTGATGACGTGGTCGCTGATAGAGGCGTGTGGCTGATGAGGTTTCATCACCGACATGTGGGTGCAATGGGTATGTTTACCTCTCTCGTCCATGTGTAGGCAGGAGGTATGGCTATCTCTCCCATTTGTGGGCAGCGCGGACCATAAGTAAAGACAGAGTTGTTTATCAGTTCATGCATGCTACATCATTTATTTGTGTTTGACAAGGAAGGGAGGAATGAGAGGTTGCGCGTGTGGGGTACTACTGTATACTCTNGCAGTAGTATGTAGTGCATGGTGGCATGTTGGGCTCGTACAGAGACGCAGTCCATCTTCGACCACACACAGAGGGGTTTGTTCGTACCTGTAGGGATTTTTTCAAGTCCTGGGTCAGCCAAGAGCAGCAGCAAGGAGCAGACGCAGTGCAGTATGTACTCTAAACCCTTACAGTCCGTCCTCCTCAAGTCCTATCGGGGATAATTAGTATCGCACAACGGCTGGATCCGAAATGCCGGCTAGCTCCGCAATCCAAGAGAGGTGGGTGGCTGAGCTAAAACCAGAATGACTGCATGCGTGCTCCTCTCAGCGACGTCGCTGGCTGGCTCTTTGAAGTGCGGATTTCTGGTTCAGCGGAATTTGATTCCCAATTCTTCGTTGTCACCTGGGTGT